CAGCATTGGCACTAAAGGCAACTCTCTTCAACTTTTCCACAACAATATTTACACCTAATCCTGTTTTGCTCGATTTGTTTTTGCACAAAACCTGCAACACAAACATCGAACAATTTTAAACATAAGAAAAACTATAAAACACAAAACTGACACCAGGAACACTCCAACATCAACACTGTGATACGAATACCAGGGCATTTTATAAGAGTCCGTGCGCAGGTGAGCAGCGCCTCGGTGTCTCATGACAAACTCTGTCCAGAAGAGGGCGCTGTCTAACGGCTTTAGCGGAGTGTCCTTATGCAGACTGGACAGTTTCTGCATGTTACTCCTGTAGGATGGATCATTAAGCACTTCCTGTAATGCATCTTTGAATATATTCCGGTTTATGGTTGCGATGTCTAAAACTTTAGCCACGCCTTTATGCTTCATTTTCAATAGGTTGTAATCCTGATCAAACACAAGCGGTAGGCCGACTATAGGAACGCCATGATAGATGGCTTCAAAAACGCCATTGGTTCCTCCGTGAGACACGAACACTCTAGTTTTGGGATGTCCCAGGAGATCATTCTGCGGGAGCCAGTTAACCAGTAGTGTATTGTTGCCCACATTGGCAGGCCTGTCTCCAGTGTATCTCCAGATTACTTTCTGGGGAAGTTCAGCAAAAGCAGCGACTATTTCATCAGCGATATCCATTGGAAGTTGAGCAACTAACGTTCCTAAGGACATAACGATGACGCCGTGCTCTCCAGAACTTTGTAGGAAATCCTCCAGATCCTTTGGAAGTGCTTTAGCAGGGCTGCAATGAAATCCGCCAATGTAGATGACGTTAGGCATAGTCGGCCGAGGAAAGTCAAAAACAAAATCGGCTCTCATAAGCCAAATATCGGCAGCCTGAAATAGCTCAAAGTAGTCCAAACCAGGACCGAATAATCGGTTGCACAAAGCACTATAATGAGGACCAACTGTTCGCCTGTAAAGGAAAAGCCGAACGGCGGAAAACAGCACGTTATATATTCTCTGAGGGAAACTCATGCTATCGGTTAGCTGCGAAAGCGGGAAGGGAACGTAAGACGGAGGAGATGGCGCTATCGCGAAATGCGCTTCTCCATGCACAGTCCACTGGACGTTAAAAACCAAAGGTAGATGTAAATAATGCGCGAGGACCACACCTCCTCCGTTCGCCGGATCCGTCAGCATTATATCGAAGTTCGCCTCTTTGATCTGTTTCATGATCGCGGGCTCCTTCTCAACAATATGGATCACCATCTCACAAATCTTTCTGTGCATTTCTGAAAACTTCTCCTTGAGCTCCATGTCCAGCTTGAAGCGGGTCCAGCGCTGCTCTCGCCTGATCTGCAGCTGTCTAAATATGAAGCTGTGGTAAAACTGGTCATCTCCACCTAGTAAAAACGGTACATTTATTGAGTCATAATGAGGTGATGTTTCTGGGATGTACCAGCTGTCGAGGGCCCGGATCACGGAGATCTGATGACCCCTATGGTGAAGCTCCTCGATCAAAGTGTTCAGGTTCAGCCAGTGACTGCCTTCATGAGGAAACACCAGGATTTTCCCACAATGCACCGGGAGGGTCAGGCTTAGAACGACGATTTGGACCACAAAGATAATATCCATCACAAACACATTTCTGAAAGACATAAACAAACAAATCGTTAATGTTCGTTTATCAGAGAAGCACGTCTCTAATGCAAGTCTGTGGAGTCCAGTGTGTTATAAGGAAATTGCCCACTGATATGGTAACTTATTACCTGGTCAAACTACAGTTTCCTAATAATTAACATTTTGACAAGTGTGTTTTTGTGCTGGTTATGGCCTGTAGCAAATAAATCAATGACAACAAAACCAACAGCATTTGGTTAGGTCCTCGTATTGCAGAGAGAAGGACTGCACAATATGGTTTCAGCATTGATATCGAAATGTGTGCATCCACAATAGGCACATTGCAGGATATGAACTACATTGCAGGATATGCAATGTAGTTCAAAACGGAATAAAAGTAGGATTCTGTAGCGATTTCCCCTGCTGTTTCTCCCTTCCTCTGCATGTATCTTTCCTCTAATGTTACCACCGCTAACCTCTAATGTTGTTTTTTTTTTTTTTTTGCTCGGTCCTGAGGCGCTAAAACTCTGCTGGCATCAGTGCATGAGAGAGGCAGAGTGCGTTCACAAGTTCCACAAGATTTGAATTGACGGTTTCTAGGGACCCTCTCAGTATTCAAGTACGGAAATGGAACAATCGCAAAGCAAATACATGCTTAACTTGCTTTGCTTTTCTCATTTCTAGTCCAAATATCAACAAATTATTTGTACTTGATTTAAGATTGATCAAAATTAAGAGTTTTTCCTTAAAACAAATCAAATTATCTGCCAATGTGGTAAGTAAAATAGTGGTTTTCACTTTGAAACGTAGATATTTGGACAAGGGACAAGACAAAAATGGAGAAAAACCTTTTTTCCCCCCCATAAATTGTATATACATTTCATATAATACAGCAATTAAATACAATTCTGTAGCTCCAGGGCCCGGTTTTTCAAAAGGTTTAATCCGGATAAAATTGATCCGGATTTAGTAATCTTGTTTTTGCAATCCGTGATCACGTAATCCAGCTTACTTTTTGAGCCAGTTTATCAAAGCAACATCAGATTGGATCAAACTGATCCGGATAGGAACTTTTCAGGATCTCTAAATCTGGATAACCAGTGCTCAAACAGGATAGGACATCACAATGTAGAACTATAGATATGTAAAAAGTGACAAGTAGAATAGCAGGCGTGGGGTCAATATAACTTTTTTGTTTGAAATGAAAACTAAGAAAATTTTATAATTATTAAAATAATAATAATAATAAATAATAAAAACAAGAAAAACCCCACCCCATCCTCTTTCAGCAGTCCGTTCATCTGAGACCTACAACACTGTACATTAAGGATATTTATAATAAGTTTCAAATATAGATGTAAATAAAAAAAGACTTAATGTCAAAAACTCCACAATAATTTCAGACTTCCTCATCTGATGTGGAGAGACCTGCTTGTCTGAGCGTAGCCTTTAGGAGGCGGATCTCAAGTCATTGGCGTTGGTTTGCTGCAGTTTGGTCAGAGTCAGTTGTTCCTTCGCCAGACGAAGTTGTGCTTCTGCCCTTTCAGTCTCTTTTTGCAATTGTTTAAGGTGATTTCAAAAATCAGTGATTGCCATTCTTTGCATTTTTGTTATTCTGTAATCATTGCATGCATCACTAATAAATATTCTAAAAAGAAAAATATTTTCCATTGTGATGAATATATATATATATCAATTAGTGACAGAATAAAATGTATTGTTTTTGGTCAGTTTTGACAGCAGTTTGGGGGATTATTTAATGGGGCCAAACTCTTTCTACTTTGCTGTAGGCCTATACTGAAAGGCTGAATACGTTAAAGCCTATACTCACTATAGCCTGACGGATAAACAAATAAAATTAAAACCTTATGAATAAATAGTATATCTCGTAAGATACTGCATGGTCCAAATATAGTATTATTTAATAAATTTTTAAAGTTTTCATTACATTTTGGGCATGAAATCCACGCTAAATCCACCCTTCTGATGGGATCAGTTTAATCCAGGTTTTTTGGATCAAAGTGATCCAGATCCTACAAAAAAGATCTGAAAAACTCAAACTAAAGGTTTGATCCGAATCAAAACCAAGATTGGATTACGTGATCTAATCCGATTACGTAATCCGTTTTTTCTTTTGAAAAACCCATTTTTAAGATTTGATCCAATCCCTTATCCAAAATCCTAGTGGATTACTTTTGAAAAACCGGGCCCAGGTAAACTATAATTCAGGCTTATTGCATATCCTGGAATGTGACTATTGCTGATGCACATATTGCAATATTGATGCCAGTATGGTGCAGCCTACCTGCTAATGTACTTTCAACCAGATCTAAGAACAAATGCATTAACCTTGTCTTGATAATTAAACTTTAACATGTTATAAATTAAATCAGTTACACATAAAATACGTCAGAGCTAGAGCCACTTCTGTTAAACTTCATCTAGACTGCAGTCAAAACACACAGGCTTAGGTCTAGAAAACCACAACCTCATTTCACAATTACTTTTGCAATCTGACTTCCAGAAAAGAAAAAAACACCCTGTCCCTTCCTGATAAACACATTTTAGCCCACAATCTCCAGCCTGCACGAAAATCTGCTCATAAAAAACACACTACTAATGGATTGTGGAAAGCAGAAAGAGAATTAAGCAGGAAGTCAAAGCTCTGCACCCTGAATTATCCTGTTTCAGATGTGTGTTTGGTCCTGAAGTACTTGATTAACTCTCCCATGAATGATTGCAAAACAGAACAAGATGTTCCTGACAGTGAATCTCTGTCAGACTAAATGTCTTATTTAAAATGCCCTTTCATAGGTCACAATGAACTTGACAATAAACTCTGAGGTCATTGCAAACCCAGGATTGTGTCAGACTTGAAAGCATGCATACTTAAATTACTATGCTAAGTATGCAATATATGGCAGTAAAACAGTCATTACTTGATATAAGAGGCCTACTCTGCCACAATGGAATTCATGTAAATAAGAAAAACTAAAATGAAATCAATTTATATAAATAAAATATGATTTAATACAAACGTTTAATAAAATATCATATTTTATTCTTACATAAAGATTATTAAATGAAATTAAACTAAAAAATGGGCAAAAATAGAAGTTTAAAAAAACAATAATAAAAGAATAAATAATAACAAAAACCTATAAATAATGAAATGCATATTCATTTAATATAATTCATTAATTATAATAAAGATAATATTACACCAGACCACTTATCAGGGCTGCCAATATTGAGAGGACAAATTACTGTAAATTGCAATGTTATTATGCCGGCAACTAGTTTCTGCAACTCTCACATAGACTTTATACTGCTCAGTGAGCACCGTCATTCAGAAGAGATATCCCAGGATGTCCTTCGAAAATGAGTAGGGGTTTAACCCCGGCATCCTGGCCAAATTTGGCCAATGGCCAATCCTGCCCTGCTAACCATACCCATATCATAACTGGTCTCATCATTATGTCTCTCGACCACTCAGCTGTTGCAATATGCCGTCGTGTCATCCAGGTAGATGCTGCACACTGGTGGTGGATGAGGATATCCCCCCCATTGTGTAAAAGTGCTTTGAGTGTCTAGAAAAGTGCTATAGAAATGTAAGGAATTATTATTATTTTTATTATTATTATTATATTGCAATAGGCGACGCAGTGGCGCAGTAGGTAGTGCTGTCACCTCACAGCAAGAAGGTCACTGGTTCGAGCCTCGGCTCAGTTGGCGTTTCAGTGTGGAGTTTGCATGTTCTTCCTGTGTTTGCGTGGGTTTCCTCCGGGTGCTCCGGTTTCCCCCACAGTCCAAACACATGCGGTACAGGTGCATTGGGTTGGCTAAATTGCCCGTAGTGTATGAGTGTCTATGTGTGGATGTTTTCCAAAGATGGGTTGCGGCTGGAAAGGCATCTGCTGCGTAAAAACTTGCTGGATAAGTTGGCGGTTCCCCGGATTAATAAACGGACTAAGCCGACAAGAAAATGAATGATATTGCCATATGAAATCCATGTCACCAGATGGCTTGAATAACCTGAATATGTGCAAAGAATTATGCAATGTTTTAGAAACATTGCTGTGATTTTGTAGGGGAGTGCATCTGTGAAAAATATAATTAACTAGAGAAACACAAAAAAAGTAATGAAATGTGCACATTTTAATCTGTTTTTTTATCATTTTTATTCTTTGTTTTGTTTTTAATCATTTTTAGTCTGTTGTTTATTATTACCTTCTGGTCGACGCTACAGAGCACCAAAACAGCCTGACACAGAAACTTCCCTCAGGGAATCCATCTCATGAACACTTGAAGATAGTGATTGTGAAACTATGTGCACCTTTTTGACTGTTTACTTGTCCATCTGTGCCTTCGTGTGTGTAATGTGTATTGCCTTGCGTATTTAATGCCTTTCACATATTTATTGTCTTTTAAATATCTGTCGTCAACACTGCTTTTACGTTTTCACTTTTCACGTTTTCACATCAACACAGTGTTGTTTTGTTTTTGAAGTATGTCGTTGTATTTTGCACTGTCGTGAGCCAGTAGCTAAGATTTTTACTCATCATAGTACACATGCTGCTGCTGATGCAAGAATAAAAGTGATTTGAACAAACATCACTACTTTTTATACACATATACACTTATTTAACAGGATACTTCATATGCCAATTTGCACATGACAGATGCATACATACCGTTGCATTAATATACCTGCACATACACTAGTCAGTTTGTATATTTGCATTCAGTATTTACTTCTGTTTTTAAAATGTATTTATTATCTGTTTTCTGTCCCATCTCTGCACTGTAGAAGCTGTCACCAAAACACATTCTTTGCATATGTGAACATATCTGGCAATAAAGCTCTTTCTGATTTCTTATACTTGTTTCTTTTATTTTTGTTTATGTGCAGCACTTTGAATAACCATCGTTTACGAAATGTGCAACAGAAATAAACTTGCCTTGCCTTTCTATATCTCTGGGAAGTCATAATGGTAGTCAGACACGACAAGGATAATTGAATAATCAAATAAATTAAAATTAATACTCCACAGTAAATTAACACTTTACGGTTTTAACCATAAAAAAATCAATTGCAATCTTATATACTTTCTTGTGCACATTTTTTCTTACAAAAAAGCTTTATAATTTTACCGGCCACTTTATTAGGTACACCTGTTTAACTGTTTATTAACGCAAATTTCTAATCAGCCAATCACATGGCAGCAGCTCAATGCATTTAGGCATGTAGAATGAGCATCAGAATGGGAAAGAAAGGGGATTTAAGTGACTTTGATCGTGGCATGGTTGTTGCTGCCAGACGGGCTGCTCTGAGTATTTCAGAAACTGCTGATCTACTGGGATTTTCACTCACAACCATCTCTAGGGTTTATAGAGAATGGTCCGACAAAGGAAATATCCAGTGAGCGGCAGTTCTGTGGGCGCAAATGAGGTCAGAGGGGAATGGCCAGACTGGTTCCAGCTGATATAAAAGGCAAGAGTAACTCAAATAAGCAAGCATTGCAACCAAGGTCTGCAGAAGAGCATCTCTGAACACACAACACGTCCAACCTTGAGGCGGATGGGCTACAGCAGCAGAAGACCACACCGGGTGCCGCTCCTGTCAGCTAAGAACTTTCTGCTGCCATATTCGGATGCTCTGCTCAGAATTTGGCATCAACAACATGAAAGCATGGATCCATCCTGCCTTGTATCAGCAGTTCAGGCTGCTGGTGGTGGTGTAATGGTGTGGGGGAGATTCTTGGCACAGTTTGGGTTCATTCAAACCAATGGAACACTGTGTCAATGACACAGCCTACCTGAGTACTGATGCTGACCATGTCCATCCCTATATGAGCACAGTATCTCCATCTTCTGATGGCTACTTCCAGCAGGATAACACCATGTCATAAAGCTCAATCATCTCAGACTGGTTTCTTGAACATGATGATGAGTTCACTGTACTCAAATGGCCTCCACAGCCACCAGAGCTCAATCCAATAGAGCAGCTCTGGGATGTGGTGGAACGGGAGATTGGCATCATGGATGTGCAGCTGACAAATCTGCAGCAACTGTGTGATGCTATCATGTCAATATGGAGCAAAATCTCTGAGGAATATTTGCAGTACCATGTTAAATCTATGCCATGAAGGATTAAGGCAGTTCTGGTGGCAAAAGGGGGTCCAACCCGGTACAAGTAAGGTGTACCTAATAAAGTGGCCAGTGAGAGTATATTTCTAGTAAGCCTTAATGGCAGGACAGATATTGAACAATCAAATTGAAAAGCAACCTTTGACAAACCTAAGCTATATATGTATATATATATATGAGCAATTCCAGCGTTATGGATGTGACATTTGCAGTGAAAACTCAAAACATGAATTCATATAGAAAGTATACGTTAACATTATATCGAAAAATCTGTTTATATTTTTTAAAACAACTCGCCACAGAGTTATGGGATCAGAAAAATATCAATCTGTAAACACTTTTTATATTTTAAATGAGAAAAATGTACATGCGTTATGGATGTGACAAAAAAAGTCTGCGAGTTTACTGTCTACAACAGACTTTGTAGAAATTCTTTCAGTTAAACTGCACAACACAAAAGAAACAATGCTAATCAACATATATAAGTCGCCTCACTATATAATTAAAATTATTGATTTTATTTTATTTGACATTTTTGCAGGTATGTGGAAAAAGTGTCGTTATGGATGTGACACTTTTCTGTTATGGATGTGACAGCTGTGAAATTGCCACTTGTGTGATTTTGGCAAATTAAATATAATAGTTTGAAACACTGACAGATACATTAATGAGTATTTTTAGAGTGCTGTAAAACACTTGCTTACACAAAAAATGTAGAAATGGTTACTCTATTTTGGTGAAAACTTAATAATTTTTCATGGCAAAGTTGACATTTGCATGGAATTGCTCATATATATATATATATATATATATATATATATACACACACACACACACACACACACACACACACACATAAACACTGTTTTATGTACCTTTAAACTCATAAAAACCATGCGATTTTCAAACGTTAGCGCAACAGTGGTTAACATTTGAAATGCTGAATCGACATATTGTATAGCCATAACACTTATTTGTCTAGGGTTTGCATGGTGTTTTTGCTCGAGGTAAACAACTATACACGAGGGTGACAGTTCAGTTCTGTTCAGAGAAAAGTGTAATGTACTTCCGGAAGCGAAGAAATACTCATCTCACTTTCAGTGAAACAAAAGTCTTTCTTCCTGGAGGAAAAACACGGAACAGAGTGTTCAACTGTACACAGCTAATAAATACACACTGACATTAACAGTCCACACAAACAAACGACTGGTTAGCTAACAACGCGGAGCTCATTTCTGACGACACGATAAACGTTTGACGAATTTTAACTGCATGTGCATGTCCACAATTGAATGTGTGTCATAGCTGTTGTTTCTAATTTTTTAGAATTTCTAATAAATGAAATAAAAAGACTTACATGTATTCGAGCAAGGGGACGGTGTAGCAGCGAGCTCGTGAAACGCGCTTCTTGTTTGGGTGGGAGGGGGCGTCGCTCATGAATATTAATTACTGTAAATTCAAGATGATTGGACACTTTCTTGAAGCGTCGACGCCAGCGTCGTTACTATTCATAGGGGTTTATTATTATTATTATTTTTGAACAAATAAGTACTTTTTTTTCAGTAGCCTAACTTAAGCCACTGTCCAAAATATCTAGTTACTATCACCATCATCATTATTATTAATTAGAACAATTACAGTCATGTTGAGATACAAAAGTCTGCCATGTCAGCTTTAAAACGTGAAAATGTTTGTTTATACATTAGTTTCAACTGATTTAACTTTTTATGATGAGTTCTAATCCGCATGATTTGACCAGGAACACACTAGCCATATCCTACTACTTGACCATTTTCGCAGTAAGCGCATTGGAATTAATTATTTTATTTTTTTCACAAAAACAATACAAATGTATACATATTTGTATTAAACAACATCAAAATTTTTCTGAAAAAAAATTCAAACAAGATCAACTTATATATGTGTATAAACATGGTGTATGTGTACTAAGAGAGCAAGAGATGATTCTCTTACACAGTTAGATTAAAACATTTTTTCACAAGTATTTTGCTTCACTGTTGCTTCATAATCGTGTCAGAAAACATACATTTATTGTTTAAAATGGAGTAATAAAAAGTGTGACAGCTGTGTGTGTGTAGAGAGAGAGAGAGAGAGGGAGAATTGAATTTCCAACAAGGCTTTAATACAATTTTTAAAAATATTATACAATCAAATGTTACACATAAAAATCAACTGGTACTTTTCTAGTGTCACAAATTGCTTATTGATTTTTTGCTTAACCCAAAAGAAAGTTTAATCACTGACAAAAAACCACAAATTAAAGTTCCCAAACTGAGAGAGAGAGAGAGAGAGAGAGAGAGAGAGAGAGAGAGAGAGAGAGAGAGAGAGTGAGTGTGAGAGATGTTATATTATAATGTTAACATTCAATGAATCAGCTTGATTTTGTACATTCATGGCTGTTTAGTTAACTGTTCTTTATTAATTCTCAACAATAAGAGGACTGATGATTAAACTTAATGCAGTATAATTCCCCACAGTTTCACAGAATCACTAGGATGGATCACTCATCAGGAGGTCTTTGTAGGTTTTCATCTCTCTGTGCAAAAAGGCAAAAATAAAGATGTGATGTTACTGTATAGTCATTGTACATGTGTTTTCATTTTAGAAAAACAATAAATCAGTTGTTGGAAAAACAGGACAGATATTTTTAGATGATGATAAAAACATGCACACAATCAGCATAGTCATACAGAGAGCTTTTGACTCATGTTACAGATTTACAACAAGAGTAATGTTCTCTGTGAATGTCACTGACATTATTTTAATTAGGTCAGGTGTGTAAACTCTAATGGCTAATGGACAGACGGCTGCTTCTCACTCAGGGCTGTTTATGCTAATGAGGGAGAGATGGGCACTAGTGGGCGGGGCTTTTCCCCTCTGATGACACGTACAAAGGGAGAATGTCAATCAAAGTGTTTCTGTTTTTATCAAGTCTGATTAGAACAAATACAATTCATTCATGATGACCATTAGAGGCTGGATATATTCACACACTGCTGACACACAACTGTGTTTAAACCCCTTATAAAACGGATTAAAAACTGCCTTAAAAGAAACAAACAGGCAAACAGATATGCCAAAGATTTGATAATTTTATACACAAGATATGGGGGTTTGAAAGAAAGTGATTGTAATAAATGTTTTGCTGTACCTGTTGTTGAAGTTGTGTGTTTACTAATTGAAGATCCTGTATCCTTTGTTGCAGTTCTTCAATTTCATTTTTATAATTATTAGCACGCTGCAGATTGTTTCTAAAGTTATTACAGAATCTTTGTAATGCCTTCCTATTACCAGAGAGATTCATCGTATGATGTAAGGCCAGGTCAGGCAAGTTAGTGCATTTAAAGGTCCACTGAGAAGTGATGTCTTGATATTCCTCTTGAAGTAGTTGGATCCAAAAGATGTTAGCCGTGGGTCTAAAGAGCAGTAAATGTTCATTAACTATGAAAAGAACATTTGGGTTGTTGTTGAGCTGCATGTCTCTGTGGGTTTTTGTCTCTGGGTCATCTTCTCCATACATGTCTCTGACCACTTCACCTTCCACTGCTGCAGGGATTTCAACTTCTGTTGCTGGTCTTGCCATTTCTAGTCAGTACTGCTCTGTGATAGTTGGAAAGTTTCTTAGGGTTTGTAAGGATGAGATTTCACCATGAGGTGTTAACCTGCTCGTAGCAGCACCTCATCCTTATATACTCTGGTGATTGTGCAAGCCAAACACTGAACTGATGGAAACTATTGTTCAGTCGGCACATATTTGATTCAGCGCCAAGATGAAAACCTCCAGACTGGTTTGTCCACTAGATCATACAAACTACCTTAACACAAGCCAAATCAAATTCATTTAGCATACATATCGTGTAAACTACAGTATCCGCATTTCAGAGTATTTTAAATTGTGCCTTGAACTGCAGCTCATCAAATACTATAGTTTATTCTGGAGTCAAATAAATCAAAACTCATGAAGCATGTAGAGTTCATCATCTTCAAGTCAAATTGAGCTTTACTGTAATTTCACTACATGTGTTACCCCGCTGGTCCTACGCCACCCAACCCGCTCCGAGCTGGTATCAAACCGGCGACCTTCCGCATGGGAGTCAGGTGCTCAACCCTTTTTTTTTTCTTTTTCTTTTATTGAAATAATTTCAATTACAATCTTGTACAGTAAATCATAATAAAACAGACATTAAAAGATCATTTCATATTCAAAACATTAAAACTGTGGTATTTTCCAGTTCATTTCTTTAAAAACTTGACATGCTTTGTCCGTTAGAAATTTGTGCAGTTCACTCAAAATGTTCTCATTTTTATACATCATTTTTATTATACATAGGTTTACTATTTTCTTATTTTCATGTTTCCTATTCCATCCCAACATCACTACTCTGCTCCATTCTGTTTCATTACCAAGGAGGCTAGACCATGGCCTCTAGTGTCTGTCGCTAGAGCACCTTTAGAGGTCAGAGGAGTGAGGTTTACCTGCACAGCACTCACTAGCTGGCCTCCATTACACGTGTGTGGAATGAAATGTCACGTCTCCAAGAACCAAGAACACAATACTGGATGTAAAAGCTAGTATAATCTAACTACACATATACTATAGATACTTAACTATACGCATAACCTAAGACAGACTATACAAGTGCTTTTACATGAGACTAAACAATAGTGTGCAAGATATTGCGCAAAAGAGGTATTTAAGGGTGAAGAAAACAAGTAGTACAACATGACTTGTGGTGCATTCACAAGTAAACACTGACATAGCGTACATAGGAGTGTCTGCACACAAGATTTCAGAGAAGAGCAGAATCACATCTGATCTGCGGGAAATGATGAGGTGTGTATGTACAGCGTAAAACAAAACCTAAAGCTCATGGCCAAATGACTGCAGGTACAAGTCATTCACTGAGCACACACTTTATACAATCTGAACTACTATTGAGCAGGGCCAGACAGAATCTGCAGACATTGTTTCGCAAATTTTATGGAGAATTTTGTTTGAAAAATATATGCAGAGTGATTTTGCTAGTACAGTAACTATAAGAACGTGAAACATGAAACATTCATTTATTAATTTTCTTGTCAGCTTAGTCCCTTTAATAATTCGCGGTCGCCACAGCGGAATGAACCGCCAACTTATCCAGCAAGTTTTTAAGCAGCAGATGCCCTTCCAGCCGCAACCCATCTCTGGAAAATACACACATTCACACACACAATTTAGCCTACCCAATACACCTGTACCGCATGTCTTTGGGCTGTGGGGGAAACCGGAGCACCCGGAGGAAACCCACGCCAACAAGAACAGAGGTTGTTTGAGGAATGAACAAAAATGAAAGTACAATTTAAATACAACATGTTCAGCACAAACCCTTACTTAACGTTCTTTGAAAGCAATGTTTAAACTATTTTAACATGATCTCGTGATTATTGAGTATTACCCGAAGCAGACAGGAATCGGGGATGAAGTTTAAAGAGAATTTTAAAAGAGAATTGCTCATTGTTCAACCATTTTCCTTCAGCTTAGTCTCTATTTCAGTGGTCGTCACAGCGGAATGAACCACCAATTATTCCAGCATATGTTTTACACAGCGGATGCTCTTCCAGCTGCAATCCAGTACTGGGAAACACCCATACAAACTCATTCACACACACTATTGCCAATTTAGTTAATCAATTCCCCTATACCACATTGAAGAATTCGGATTTCTGCTTTCCAGTCCATCTTATCATGGACCAACATTTATCCTTTTCATCATCCTGTTTCCCAGTATTTAACTGTGAATTGATTTTAATTAATGAATAAGTTAACACATTGCTTAATATAAGAATGTTCAGTGCATTTGCCTGTCTCTTTATAACTATTTTCAGGAGCCAGCAAACTAGGTCAGAGGTCATGGAGACCTTGAGTGGAACTGATGGCTGAGGACTGGAAGCAACTGTTTCTATTGTTATTTCTAGGAGTTAATACTGTCTAAAATGTCTAAAGTGATTTTGCTATAGTTTTACGGTTAAATCTTTTAAAGTGATTCGACTTTTTATTCAAGATAGACTTTGTGTAGTAAGAATATAACTGTCTGAATGTAGATTATACCAGTTTTTAACCAGTTTCGATAAAGACGGCTGACAGTACACTCAGCCTTGGATAAGAAACAGATTGTACTTTAAGTGTATGTGTTCTATTGGAAAAGTTGATCCGTTTCACAGGTCTGGAGTCAGCTCTAATCAGTCTAAGGGATGTCTGACGTTTATGCTTAAGATATTGTTCAGAATATACGCACAAACCCCACGTGGAAATGTTCCTAGTCTATCTGTGTTTTAACCAATCAGGTTAGGACATCTGTATGTGTGACGCAGTTAATGACGTTATGTGACAGTATAATTGTTATTGATTGGTGATTGTAAGCAGAGCGGCCTAGGAACTCATTGCGAGTGTTGAAGCTGGCTGCTGCTGATTTAACAGCAAACTATCTTCAGTAAACTTGATTTATTTATTTAAATCTCTGACTCCGGCTCTTCTTCATCAATCAGACTGCTCATTCTTTGGGTCAAACTGTAAACTATCCCTACAACATCTGTTTGGACTGTGGGGGAAACCGGAGCACCCAGAGGAAACCCATGCACGCCAACACAGGGAGAACATGCAAACTCCACACAGAAGCGCCAACTGAGCCAGCCAAGGCTCGAAACGGCGACCTTCTTGCTGTGAAGCCATAGTGCTAACCACTGAGACACTGCACCACCCTAAATAGAGAATGTTTTGTTTTTGCTGTGGTTACTAACTCACTAGCGTGTCTATCAATATCAAGTGGTGCTTTGTACAAATGTACAACTTAAAAATAATTTTACATCACACAACAACTGCAAGATCCCAGTGCCACATACAAAATTTCTACACTATATAGCAAATTTGTTAATGCTTCCAAAGAATCTACAAATCATAAAAGACTGGCTTGGATTGAAGACTTTTAAATAGATATTACAGAAAATGAATGGGAAGAAAGTTGTCTTCGAGCGCAAACATTATCAATCAATACCCGTTTTAAACTAATCCAATATAGTTGGATAATGAGAACATATATAACACCAGAAATGTTAAATAAATTTAATAGAAATATTCTGGACATTTGTGGAAAATGTTTGACTCACATGTTGTGATGGCAATGTGTGCACTTGCAATTCTTTTGGAAAGAAAAAATTGGTGTAATCTCTAAAACTATTGGTAAAGAAATCCCTGTTTGCCCTAAAATCTGTATCCTTGGTCTTTTCTCACCTTCCTTATCGCTGAAGTCATATGAACAGAAGTTTATAAATCTGTGTCTATTACATGCGAAGCGCCTGATTGCCATTCACTGGAAAAGTACTCATGCTCCATCCTTGTCACTCTGGATTAAGGAAATGTCTTCGTGTATAGCAATGGAAAGGTTGACTTATTCAATCAAACAAAAAATGCACATATTCTACAAGATTTGGGACTGCTTCCTTCATTTTTTAAATAAGAGTGGACTGACTGTTTAGTAATCCCAAACAATGTGAGTGTTA